TATATATATATATATATATATATAGATATATATATATATATAGATATATATATATATATAGATATATATTATGAAGGCTGAAGTCTCTTATTTAGCAGGATTATTGCACAGGGTATTAACATGGGTATACAGAACTGACTAAAAGTTTGGACACAACTTCTCATTCAAAGAGTTTTCTTAATTTTGAAAATTGAAGATTAACACCGGAGGCATCAGAACTACAAATTAACACATTATGGAATTGTGTAATTATATACTTAACAAAAAAGTGTGAAACAATATAAAATATGTCTTATATTGTAGGTTCTTCAAAATAGCCACCTTTTGCTTTGATTACTGCTTTGTACACTCTTGGTATTCTCTTGATGAGCTTTAAGAGGTAGTCCCCTGAAATGGTTTTCCAACAGTCTTGAAGGAGTTCCCAGAGATGCTAAGCACTTATTGGCCCTTTTGCCTTCAGTCTGCGGTCCAGCTCATCCCAAACCATCTCGATTGGGTTCAGGTCCGGTGATTGTAGTGGCCAAGTCATCTGGCGCAGCACCCTATCACTCTCCTTCTTGGTCAAATAGTCCTTACACAGCCTGGAGGCATGTTTGGGGTCATTGTCCTGTTGAAAAATAAGTGATGGTCCAACTAAAGGCGAACCGGATGGAATAGCATGCCACTGCAAGATGCTGTGGTAGCCATGCTGGTTCGGTATGCCTTCAATTTGCCTTTCAATCCCCAACAGTGTCACCAGCAAAGCACCCCCACACCATCACATCTCCTCCTCCATGCTCCATCCATGGAACCAGGCATAAAGAGTCCATCCGTTTACCTTTTCTGTGTTGCACAAAGATACAATGGTTGGAACCAAAGAGCTCAAATTTGGATTCATCAGGCCAAAGCACAGATTTCCACTGGTCTAATGTCCATTCCTTATGTTCTTTTACCCAAGCACGTCTCTTCTGCTTGTTGCCTGTCCTTAGCAGTGGTTTCCTAGCAGCTATTTTACCACGAAGGCCTGATTCACACAGTCTCCTCTTAACAGTTGTTCTAGAGATGTGTCTGCTGCTAGAACTCTGTGTGGCATTGACCTGGTCTCTAATCTGAGCTGCTGTTAACCTGCGATTTCTGAGGCTGGTGACTTGGATCCTCTGCAGCAGAGGTGACTCTTGGTCTTCCTTTCATGGAGCGGTCCTTATGTGAGCCAGTTCCTTGTAGACATATAGTTCCTTGACAGACATATTTTCAGTTGTTTCACACTTTTTTGTTAAGTATATAATTCCACGTGTTAATTAATACGGTAGTTTTGATGCCTTCAGTGTGAATCTAAAATTTTTATAGTCATGAACATAAAGAAAACTCTTTGAATGAGAAGGTGTGTTTAAAAAAAATGTCTTAAAAATTTTTATATTTTGCTTCCCATAAATGAGGTCAAATAAACATTATTTATGAAACAGATAAATACATTAATAAAACAAATATGCATAGAATAAGGTAAAATAGCAAAATGGTGAAGAGCAGGTAAAGACTAAGGGAAAATTATGTGTTCTAGGTTGTTGTTAAAAAGCATAGAAGTCAATAGTCTTCTACAGTCTTCTACTAGTAGTAGACTGTTCAACAGTGTAAGGTTACAACTGCAACACATGGTTGTCCCCTTCTGACTAATTCATGATTCCTAAAGTTGTGTTCGGAAGTCCATTTGGTCTTGGGATCCTCTAAAAACTGTTGAGGGTGAAGCATATTTATGCTTCGATATAGAACAAATTAAATACATTGGCCCCTGATGCTGTTTTTCTTATACCCACAGTTAGCTGATTTATTTTTTTTGTAGTAAATTTTGGATAGCCAGCCAGTAGTTTGAACCATGAATGCATTCTGGTGCTTTTGTCGGCGAGAAGCTGAAATATTTATCAACTTCTGACCAAAATCAATGGAGCAAAGTGGAATGTTTGAAGATGTTTTTGGTTAATCAGTAAAAACTTTCCTCAACTTTGATTTCGGTGTGTAGGAACTTTAGCCATTCTGCATGTTCCCTCCTCGGTGCATCGCAGATTAATTCCCTACTGGTCTGATGTTATCAGAGTGCATGAGAAAATGTAATTATCATTAGCATACCAGTGGTAAAACAGTTTGCTCTAAAGTAAATGGCACCCAAGACCGATACTTGAGAAAGACAGTAATTCACATCAGGACTAAATAAAAATCTACTCATTTAAAACTATGAATCACATCCAGAAATACTCAACAGTTTTCTCCAGAGCTACATGAAGAGAACATGATCTGTAAGATTTTTCTTATTAAAAATGATATGAATTTTTGCATTAAGTTTGGGCATGTCTGCCATCAGTACTATTAATAATTTAAACTGCATGAAAACAATCAAAACAATTTAAAGCTTTAGGCGCATTAAACAGCTACAGGAGGCCCTTCCTGCCTGCATCCATAAACATTACAACAACCCACTTAATGAGCCCTATGATATTAGTAACAGCAACTTTTAATTTGTTCCTATGGGATTAATAAAGTATTTTTGTATTTTGTAGAGGCGTAGCCAGAAATGTTTTATAGGGTTGGACATGCAGGAACCAATATACCACTGAGGGGTGGCTGAAAGCAGATTGGCGCCACAACCTGTTCAGAGTCAACTACAGTGTTTCAAGAGGCACAACATCCAAATTTTCCAGATAAAGACAAATTAGATTTTCCCAAAGCACTTGCTCATAAATAGACACATATATGTACACATCCATGGCGTCTAAATTAAATGTACGAACTTCATCGGATGATAGCTTTGGAACATCTTATCCATTGTAATTTCTTACCTACATTTCTGGAAAAAAATGGTCATACTTTTATCAACAATTGTTCTCCTTAATATAAATATTTAGATATACTAATATATTCACTGAATGGATGTAGTTGTCACAGATTATATTGAAGACTCCTAGATGACTTACAGAGACACATCATTTTCTCTTTACCTCCTAAACCTCAAAATCCAGTTCTGAAAAGAGCAGAAATTCTGTATTTATCATCTTTGATGTTATCATATTGATGTGTGTAGTTAACCATTGCATTTTTGTTTTCTTTTTATTATAAATATACAAAAATGAAATTTAAAATTGGTGAGAACATTCCATAGAGTATGGTAGCAGTCTGTTTTAGATGGAAACTGCTTGTAAATTATGTCCAAAGAGGATCACCTGGTAAAGGTTATCCAATGATAGCCGATATGTATTGTCTTAGTCCAGCTCTTTAACGGCTGTTTTTCTCAGATAAATTTGGTAAACAAAACAACAAAAAAGAAAAACATAAAAAGAAAATCGAAATATTTATTTTTTTTTCTTAAAGATTGAAGTATTTGGAATTTACAAACCTGGAGAAAAGCTCTCCATCTTAATCTGTGTACCAGGCGACTACAAAACAAGCCTGTTACCCAAAAACTCAACAAACAAACAAACAAACAAACAAACTAGCATTGATTCTCTATGGATATAAATTGAACCTCATAAGCGGTCGGGAGCTATTTCAAAATCTGCATAGTCTGAAAAGCTGTTTAGTAATTCATGCTCTAATGTGGTATTTTAGTGTGTAAAACCTGTAAATATGTTTCCTCAGCCAGATCAATAATCGGGATGTATCAGGTCAGACACCTCTGCACCTGGCATGTGAGCGAGGAGACCTGGCATGTGTGAAGGAGCTGTTGGAGGAGAGTCAGGCCCGCACCGACATCAAAGACCGACATGGAGAAACCCCCATGCATTACGCCTCCAAGCAGGACTCTCCTGTCATCATCCAGGTGAGACTGAGCTGACACCTGAGTTAAACGTTTAAAGCCTCGGGGCTTTACTGACTGATGACTTTGATTGTTTATCTTATGCTACACAAAGAAGGTAGATAATACCAGGAACTGACTGGTAAATGGAGTCTGATGATTTTCAGCTTGATTGGTCCTGATCAGTGACAAGTCAGTTAGCATAACAAAATGTGGACAGGTCAAACTGACTAAAACTGTGTTTTCTGTGCTGTGTAAACAAGACTGAATGTTGAGTACTTTCAGTATCATGAAGGTGTTAACAGCAAAAGTTAGAGGAAGCCCAGAGATGCTGGAAGTTATTTAAAAGAAAAAAAATCTTTTTCTAGAACCTGTTAGGACAGGATTGTAGTTATTTTATGCCACAAGAAACGGTACAGAACAACTGCTCATTGTGATTATTTTAAACTCCTAACATGTCTCTAATGGACCGTACTTGTTTGTTTAAATCTTTAGATAACACTTAATGAGACTGCTGTTTAGATACTGATAGCTGCGTTAACTATAACTAACTTCATTCCTAGTTTAAGATGATAAAGACCATATAAAATTGTAACTCCATAACTTAACCCTGTTCAAGAGGAAATGTTCTCTCACACAATTTAAACTCACGTCTGCTTTGAACTTGAACTCTGAGACAAGGAGGCCAGGAAAAATAGTTATAATTCTATTCTGTCATCTAATAATATTGGTCTTAAATTGGAGTTGGCTAAAAGCTGGTTTGACATCTGTAGCATAAAGATTTAGAAAAAAATGAGATTGAGTCTAATATCTCTTAAAATTACATCCATTAGGAGTGACAGCGAGAGCCAAAAGTGGTATCTGGCGTGCCAGTTTTGTAAAAAGTCATATGTCAGTTGGGAAATGGCCAGTTGTGCTGTCCATTAGACGTCCTGTTCTATGGCAGCTTAACAATCTCCCCTCCTTTGATGTCCTCTTCCTTCCCGTCTCCTCCAGGCTCTCTGTTCACGGTTGTGCTCAGGAGTGAACGAGCTCAACGACAACGGAGAAACACCGCTCCATGTGGCCTGCCGTCTGGGCCGTGTGGAGTCCGTCAAAGCCTTGTTGGAGGGCGGGGCAAAGTGTGATATCAAAGGCAGTATGGGAAATCCTATCCACACCGCTATGAAGTACAGTGAGAAGGGGTGAGTGAAAAAACTTGCTGCATGAAGAGAGGAAGCGGCTTTTTTACCCTCTGATACAATAGAGTGCCTGGACTTCATGAAGGAAGTGGTTTTGCTGGTTGTTCCACTGACCTTAAGTGAATCAGTGGAAATGGATGCTTCATCTTATGCTTTCATGTTATTAGTTAAGTTATACATTTTACAAATGCAGTGGGATTCAGTGGGTTTTGATTTAAAACTACTTAATAAATTTTATAAACAGAGTTTTGTCTAAAAAATGAAATGAAATATTGTGAAGCAGCACAGAGTTACTCAATAATGACAGAAAATTATACAAAAACTGGCAGAGCTCTTACCCACATCTCTGGAAAAAAATTGTAATTTTTTTTTATAAACAATTGTTCTGTATAATGTAAATATTATATATTCTGTATTTATCAGCTTTGATGTTATCATAATGATGTGTGTAATTAGCCATTGCATTTTTTTGTTTTCTGTTTATTATAAATATGCAAAAATGAAATTTAAAATTGGTGAGAACATTCCATAGAGTATGGTAGCAGTCTGTTTTAGATGGACACTGCCAATGATAGCCTGAATATGTATTGTCTTAGTCCAGCTCTTTAATTGCTGTTTTTCTCAGATAAATTTTGGTAAACAAAACAAAAAAAAAAACATAAAAAGAAAATCTAAATATTCTTTTTTTTTCTTAAAGATTGAAGTATTTGGAACTGACAAACCTAGAGAAAAGCTCTCCATCTCAATCTTTTGATTTAAAACTACTAAATAAACTTTATAAACAGAGTTTTGTCTAAAAAATGAAATGAAATATTGTGAAGCAGTACAGAGTTACCCAATAATGACAGAAAATTATACAAAACCTGGCAGAGCTCGCCAGCCTTAGAGTTTCATTCCTAGACAGAGCCATCTGAGGAGCTGGTTACCTTTACCTTTTTTTAACATGGGGAGTATTTATGAATCAGTGCTTCTATGTTTGTTTTGTATGGTTATTTCTGTCTCCTTAAACTCCCAATCAATGTTGGCAGAAGGCTGCTAACACTGACTTCTCTTCCCTTACCAATATGCACACTCTCCTGTGTGCTCTTTGTGGTGTACCTTTTAACTTGACTGAAAGGCGATTGTGGCTTTTTATAGTTTATTACTATTAATGGCAATTTTAATACAACATATTAACCTCCTGATGCACGAACTATACAGCATACACGAACAGGCAAATGAACGGAAAGCTTCAAGGTGCGTTCAAAAACTATATGCGCAGCTTCCTACCATTAACAGCCAATAGGTGCCGGTGAGTTCCCCCTATAAAACCTAAAACTCACACCGTCCCACGTTGTCACCTGGTGGACACACAAAATACACATAAGCAAAGTGGCTCATAGAGTCGATATTCTGCTAATTTCAGAAATGCACCTTTTTGCAATTGTAGTTTCCATTTAATAAGAAATATGAATAAAATTATAAATGAATATGTTTGTTCACACAATAACTCTGGAAAACAAAATGGCAGGATGAGATATATCCACATGAGACATCAGTCTCCTCTTGAGTCCAAACCTGCCCTGCCATCATCCTCCAACTACTTCTGGTCTTCTTCTTCATCTTTTTAAAAGGCATTAAGGTCCAGTTTTAGATCACATGACTAATGTGATGCCAAGAAAGGGTATCCATTCCAGTTTTGAGAAATATAATAATTTTCATAATAAAAAAACAGATCTGTAAATTGTGATGACATGTTGTTAATTGGTGCTTTATAGATAAACTAAGTACAATTCAAAAATGAAAATTATTTACTATGTGATTAAGAATCAAAGAATTACTTGTACTTCATGTCAGATGATTAATGTGATAAGTAGGGTTTATTTTTCCTTCTTGTTTGTCAGCTGCGTGGAAGAGATTCTCAAAGCCGACCCATCGCAACTCCAAGCTGAGGACTCTGTGTACGGAGGGACGCCACTGCACTGGGCTAAAACAGCAGAGGTAGCTTCTACTAAACCCCATTTTTACCTGTTAATGGTTTTTAATTAGAAAATGTGCATCTGATGGCCATTTTTTTACATGTCCTGTCTTAGGTGTCTGTGTGTGTCAGGTCAATCTTACGCTACAAGAATTATATGTTAGGGCGGCCTCCTGTTTGTGTTTTGAATACAAATTCAATCCAGCATCAAACTAGGCAGGCCACATTGATATTGCAGTAATAGTAATAATATAATTAGTCTGACTTTTAACTGTTTGGAGTTTCTATGTGTGGGTTAGCATTTATTTGTGTTGCACATTTGTAAAGGAGGTGAGAACAGTAGTAGGCCATCCTCAGAAGCTTAGAGTAGAAAGGAGCAGGTAGACATGAATCTAAAAGGTCACAGCAGTCCCCGGCAGTCAGATGCAAAGCTCCATCTCAGGGCAGCATCCACAGGTCTTTAGTGAGGTGAAATGTTTTAGATTATTTGATTTGATGGCAGAGAACTGTTTTATTTATTCAAGATGTTGTATGTCCGTAAGAAGAATAAACAGCTTAGTAAAAAAAAGAACGTCTCTATTTTTATTTTCTCCCTCCCAGATGTGCCGCATGTTGTTGGACCGTGGCAGTGAAATAAATTACCTCAGTAAGACTGGAGAGAGCGCCCTACACATTCTGACTAAAAAAGGCCGCTTTGAGGCCGCCATGGTGCTTCTCACCCACGGGGCCAACGCCAACCTGAAGGGGCAGGATGGAAACACGGCTCTTCACCTGGCTATGAAGGTTTGACTTTAACACGCGTGATTTAGATCGTCTTTTAGGTGACAATGACAATGATCTCATGAGCTATTGCCAATTTGAAAGAAAAGGGGTCCTGTCCATTCCTACATCAGTGTCTGACTCTGGTTCTTTACAAATGATTTCCAACTAAATGATGGCACCTTGTTGGCTTATTTTGTATTGTTTCTGTCTTTTACACTTCATTTGTGGTCCCCTTGTTTATACATGTAGGATATTATGCATGAGCTCAATGGCAATGACAAGTCCAAGATCAAGTGTGGAGAAGCATTAAAAATAATAGTTGCCAAAAGGGATAAGAAACTAGTAGTGTTCTGGTTACAATATGAACCTTTGTGTTCACTGAAGCTGGACCCAAGGCTGCCTAAAGCTTGATTTATGCTTGACCCGTCCGAGATGCCTTCATGCAGAGCACCTAGAGCAGTTTGTAGCTACGCAGAACAGGTGCAACCTGCCAGAACAGGTGCAACCTGCCAGAACAGGTGGAAAGCCGCACTGTGTTTAAATGCTGCAGATGCTGTGACGGACGGCTCATCTTGCATGCGGAAGGTCCTTGGGTCAAGCATAGTGAGACCTTTAACTGGCAAGTTGATAGCTCTATAAGTAAGGGCTGCCAGCAGAGGGCAATGGCAATACTGGTTTTATCTGCTGATTGTTCCCAGTGCAACAAGTCTCTTTAGGCCCAAAAAAGACAAAGTAAACACTATGGGGATAAACACTTGCATTATGTTGCTTTATTTTATATTTAACTTGTAGGTTTTAGTGTTTTTCTATAAGCATAGAACGTGACTGGACCCTTTTCAGTGATCAAAGTCTGAGGACAAAAAAAAAAAAAAGCAAGCTGTTGAAACTATTAGAGAAGTGTTTAGATCCGGTTGAGAATTTATAAACTGTTTTAACAGTAAACTGTTGCAAAATAATCATCAGCGTTCTTAATTTTAAACATTTTGATGTTTTCTGTAAATACATTTTCTTTAAATCAGAGCCACATAACTCCCGTTTCGTCCTAAAACCATATGAATGTTTTTGTTTTCTTCTGTTTTAATCAGATGGACCACATGGAGTTGATCAAGGGTCTGATCGTGTTTGGGGCCGATGTTGAAATCCACAATGACCTTGGAGAAACGCCTGGGTTAATCGCTGCAAGAACCAGCAAAGGTGAGAGCAGAAGACTGATAAACTGTCTTTAAGGAACAGTGGCTATTAATCTATTTAAAATTCTAACAGTTAAGGAATTTGGCATCCTAAACTAACCTGATTGAGGTTGTTGGATCTTACATACAGTATAACATGTATTATAATGTAAAAACAGAGATCTTCATGTTAATAACATGTTAATTAACAAGTGACGATACCCAGGATAGGTTTTATTCCGGACTGGGTAATTTCTGTTTTTCAATGCAAATTGTTATCTTTAGTAATTAGGATCCTTTTTGATGTGTAATTTAAAGTAGGATCCAACTTAATCTTAGTTCTACATCCTCCTCCACAATGACCATAGTATCATTTTTTCTTCTTGTTAGATATTTAATGATGTGTTGCCCTCTAAAATGATTTACAGGTTCTTTAGGTTCCTCTTCATATAACAGTACTGTAGCCCTGATGTGGTCATAAGTGACAGTTTATTGGACATTTGGTTATGAAGTATAAAATCAAAGTGCATTGATCTAATGCTCCATTGCTCTTAAAATCTACATAATATATTTTTCACTTCTAGTTACTTTGTTTTCCATTGGAGGGGAAATAGGTTGGTCTTGGCAGTTTTATGGATCATTATTCTGCTGAATTACTCAGTAATAATAACCCACCTTCAATTTTATTGTAGGGGCTGACGGATATTAAGGCGTCTTTTTTTCTTGATAATGTCATACACTCAAAGTTCCCCAGGCCCTTAGAAGAGAAACTTTCTGACAGAATTACTGATTTTACACCGTGTTTATGAAAAAGTGTAACCCGTTTTTCTACATCAGATATGATCCAATGCATGCTAAATACTGAGTACAAAGTCTGCAACAAAAATCGTAATTTTGCCATATACAGAGATAAAGTTAACGATGATGAAATCGAGTCATAATAGAAGACTTTTAGAGGCAAATGTGTAGGAAGAAAAGTTGCTATAATTCCAAAATTTAACAATTGTAGAGCAGATTATGTAAAAAGTTTAAAATGCCTCAAAGAACAAGAACTTAACTCTTTTTTTCTGATAAAACTTTTTAAATGTATGTGAATATAATATGAAAAAAAAATTGCTAAGTAGTGGAACCAAGATAAAGTTTACCTACAATGATCCAGGCATCATCTTTTTTCTAAATGTAAGTTTTGCTTGGCCTGTTTACGTAGGAAGGTGCTTCCAGTAAAATCTGGCTTTGTTGTGAGTCATAAAGGATGTTAAAAGGATTTTCCTGTTGTGAATTGATTTTTAACAATGCATGATGATTGCTAACCGTCTGCTTGTCTTTCTCTGTACCCCCCCACCTCTCTGTCTGTGATACATCTCCATCTAAATCTCTCTCCCCTCTGAGGCATGTGTGCTGCCTGCCATGTTTGCTTGTGTTTGTATTAATCTAAAAAGGTCCTAATAGAAAGATACTGCTGGACATGCTGTGTAGTGTAGGAGTCCAGCGCTGCCTCCCTCCCTCCCCAGGCAGTCCTCCTCCTCCTCCTCAATTCTCAAACAAGACCCAGCCTCGAGCCATAGGTAACACCACCATCCCTCAGCTTTACAGGCTCATATTATCACTTAAACTTCATATTTATGAAAAGGAATTTACTTGGTATTGTATATTGTCTTAAATGATATGATTTGATCATTGATTTTTCATTTAAAATGATGTATTAGAATAGATGGTATTGTATTTTAGAGCGATTATAAACATAATTTATTCAATAGCTTTATGGTGGATTAAAGAATTCCCAGAATCCTTTTTGCTTTGTTGCCATTTGCTCAGGTATCTGACAGCATCTACTTATCATTTATAATACCTTTTTTATTTTTATTTTTTGCAGGCTTTGAGGACATCATGTACGTGGGAGCTGCAATAGGAGCGATTGGCAAATCTGAGATTGATGGACCAAGAAAGGAGAAAAAAAAGTAAGTGTGTTAATAATTGGTAGAAAATTGGAGCGGTTGTTTTTTTGATGGAGTCCCCTAGCTGACTAGTTGTCTGCTGTTTTTGGATATTACCTGACAAAATGCACAAGCTGTAAAGGGCTTTGAGTGACTATAGTCTCTATGTAGTGCATTATTGATGCAAAATGTGAGTTATTTTTAGATCTGTAATAGTTCACAGGAATTGATTCACATTTCCTTCGCCTTGTTTTGCAGGATGGACAGGCTGCTGTGTCTCGATGGTGGAGGTATTAAAGGCCTGGTGCTGATCCAGATGCTCATCGCTCTGGAGAAGGAGGCGGGCCGACCCACCAGGGAGCTCTTTGACTGGGTGGCTGGAACAAGCACAGGGGGCATCCTTGCTTTGGCAATAATCCATGGTGTGTTCCTCCTTCTGTTTTGTTTTCCTAGAATGTTTTATGTCACTAGGACTACATTTTCATTTTTTTCTGTGTGCAGGAAAGTCCATGGAATACCTTCGCTGCCTGTACTTCAGAATGAAGGAACAAGTGTTCAAGGGGTCAAGACCCTACGAATCTGCGCCTCTGGAGGACTTTCTGAAGCAAGAGTTTGGAGAAAACACCAAGATGACAGACATCCGATTCCCAAGGTTTGTATCACATTAGGACATTAAAAAGAACATCCCAGTAAATTATACACAATTAAAATGTAGTATGCTACAGCAAAGAGTCTTTCTAAAACAACAAATAAAGTTATAACTTTATTTCCTTATAAAACTACAGGAAACGTAAACGATATTTTGCTAGAATTGGCAAAGAAACCCCAAATTCACTAGAACAATTACTAAAGATTTAGAGAATTGTGCTGGTACCCTTTCAGCATTAACAAAACAGAACTGTTCATGAAAAAACCCAACATTTACTAAAGTTTAATTTTATCTCTTCATGATGTACTTGACACAAATCAGATTTGGCTTTTTAATATTGATTCAGATTGAATTAAAAATATTCTGAGGAGTTTTAGTTTTTTATCAACCTGCATTAGAATAATTTAAAGCCAGACTTTTGATATCTTTCTCCTGGTCCTCCCTCCATTGAGCTGATTATGAGTAAAAATGGGACAGACTGTGAAATTCGAAAGTAACAATCCTCCATCATGCTGCGTTCACACTGAACATGATTCTAGCACTTTAATCTCCAGCAGCTGTTGCTTTATATCTATCACAGGTGTCAAATTGTGCCTATCGTGTTACCGCTAACGCATCCATCGCATCACTTTGCATGGCAGATTTACTGTGCACTCCTCTACTGAAGGACAACATGTGAGAAGAAGAAAAAAAAGAAAAAAGGATAACATGTTGGTGTTAATGCACCTTTAAAATTAAATCCAAGCATCCTTTTTTTATGCTGTTTTTTTTTAAATGTGGTCTTTTCTTTGTGTGTAGAAAGTGCCCATTAAATGAACTTTCTTTATTGACATTTTTTTTTTTCCAATTCTGCATTACAAGCCTGATAAAATGAAGGCTGCAATCTCTTTAGCTGACAACTTAGTCCCTGATTAGTGTTCTACCCAGCAGAATGTTTGATCTTTTTAATCAGGCTGAATGGATGCTAAAAGGTGCTAAGGCAGCTGTGATGCTCATCATAGTTCAACAGTTAACTTCCCAGTGATGCAATTAAAAAACTTTAAAGGAGGATTAACATGACCGCTCGCACATTGATTTAAAAAAAAAAAGCAAAAGCAAACAACTAACAATTCGTTCCCTTAATTTAATTTTTCTAGTCTCATAAATAACAATTCGACAATTAGTCTTCATTAAATCATTGAAGCAAAATTAAGCATTGCTTTATCAATATTACTTCATCAAAAAAGTTTAATAAATTTGTCCATATGTGTGTTCTTGATTTCAATATTCCTAATTTCTCCCTCCTCACTGACAGATCTGCTTTGCTAATTAAAATGTTCTTCAGTAGAATCTGCCAGCCTTTCTCCATTTAAGCTGTTTTCTCCTGTCCGTATGTCCAGGGTCATGGTGACCAGCGTTTTAGCTGACAGACATCCAGGTGAGCTCCATATCTTCAGGAATTATGACCAACCATCCCTCAAGAAGGAGCCTCCATACACCACACAGGCCACCTTCAGGCCCCTTACCATCCCACAAGGTACCAATAGATCTTATAGTGCTTAGTGCACTGATTTTAAAAACTTCCTTCAAGCTGAATTCTTCCAGTAATGGAGTTTAAAAACAGAACTAAACCTGAGTATTACACATGGTCAGTGTGGTTTACCAGGTTATGATTTAAATGATTTGTGTGGAGTTTCTTTTTACCACCACTAGATGGTGGCAAAGGCAGTGGATTCTTTCACAGACTATAGCTTTAAAATGTTCCCCATGTTCTCAGTTCCCTGTAATAAGTGAGACGGGAATATTGATAGTTTATTAATTTCATTTTGAATGAATGACCAAACTAGTCCAGTTGTGTGTTTGAGTGCAGGTCATGTTGTTGTTACAGGATGGGAGAATGAAGAGGTGTTGATAGTAGGATACACAGAGGAGCCACCCAGAAAGCGTAGGAGGGTGACAGATGAAGGTGTGTGTGGTCATATATGCAGGAGAAAGTCAAGCCATGAAATCCTCTTTTTTGTTAACTTAAGTGAAATAAAAGTCATATCCTACAAATCAAGCTTGCAGAGAGCTGCAGCTGTTTTAAGTGACGTTACTTATATAAAACTACAGTTCTGCTCTCAGGCTGTTCAAACATTAATGAGTCAATCAAGGGTCGGTTAATTACATCATTGTGAATAGATTATGTCGATAATTAGTATGTTGTGCAATAATAATTGTTTACAGTTTTGTTTTGTCATTTTGATTATTAAGCCTTTTTGTTGCCCCTAGCCCTAAATTTTGCTCATTCCCCAGAAAGTAGTGGTTTCCCAATTCCTCTTTGCACGTAGGAGTAGTGGACATAGCAGGCTTTTAGCTTGGAATGTTTCATAGGGTTTACACCTATGTATTACATCTTTGGTTTTTGCATGGTATAGTGGGGTCTGGTGGTATCCTCCCCTAACCTGACAACAGCCAGATGCATGTCTCGCTCCGCCTAGCTCCACTCACATACATCTGGGAACCTGCTCACTGAAAGTGATTTCCCCAACCCAATTTATGGTCTGTCCAATCAGGACGCAGGGCGGGTGTGTCCTGGAGTGGAGAAGCGACCGTGAGATTCCAACAACAATGGCGGCTCGCATTGAGGAAGCAAGCGTTAGCATTGATGCTGCTATTTCTTCTGTGTTGTCCAATCTATCTGATATTGTTTCATTAAAAGAACATCAGAGAACGGCTTTGAAGGCTTTTGTTGGTGGAAACGATGTTTTCGCCCTTCTCCCGACCGGATTTGGCAAGAGCTTGATCTACCAAATGGCTCCTCCTCTCACAGCGTCACGGGTTAGCTTCGGTGTGAGTGGTTGAAATAGCACGTCAATAAAGATGACAGACAAGTGGCTTATCCAATCATATGCAAGGAGTTTTGATAAGGCCCAGCCTTCAGTAAAGGCAATTCCTATGGCGGGTTCCCAGATGTATGTGAGTGGAGCTAGGCGGAGTGAAACATGCATCTGGCTGTTGTCAGGTTAATCCTCCCCCTAGAAAATGTAGAAATTTAGACTCTCTGAAATGCTATTTACTGCATTTTGAGGTTGAATGCAGCTAACTTTTTGTCTTTGTTACAACTAGTGTTGCGCCAATGCCATTTTTTGGCCCCGATACGGATACCCGATATCTGGCTGTGCAGTATCGGACGATACCGATACCATAATAATGTAAAATAATTGCCATCATGGCTTTGTCAAGCTGCTGCCTACAAAGTGAATCCAGTAGAACTTTTTATTGCCTACCAGGAGTGGGTGACAATAGTTGAATAAACTTTTGGCTCTCAAAATGGTATTGGTGCCCTATTTGTTGGTACTCGCCGATACAGATACCACCATTTTAGGGCAGTATCTGGGCCCTGTCCGATACTGGTATCGGTATCGGTGCAACACTAGTTACAACACTTCTTTTTTCATGATTACGTGTGCTCATGTAGGGGTAGAAATTTCATGAGGAAGACATGAGATTATTTTTAGATACAAGATTATGTTTATGTGTAGGTTAATTCAAACAATCAGAAAGCTGTAACTGCCAGTCCCCAGCAGCAGCTGCTTCAGGCCGGGGTGTCTCTTGGGGGTTTCACCTTACTGTTCGTGGTGGCTGAAAGGAGATGTGAGCGTTTTTCAGGTATTGGTACAAACTGCAAGCACTGGAATAATAAAAATGAACGTATTTTGCCGGCAGGTCTCAACATTTTAATTTAATTTAGTCATTAATAAACAATTTTAAGAGAGTGGTCGTTGTGCTCTTTATCAGGAGTGCTGTGTCTTTCTCCCTGCCAGCTACCAGATTATCTTCTCTTCTCTGTCTTTGCTGGAGGTATGAGAAGAAACAGTCCTTGGGCTAAATTAAAAAGGCCTTTTTAAAAGCCACCTAAAAATGCCCTAAATGCATTCGCACTTCATCCTTTGTCAACATTATTTTCTCTGACCTGGTAGCACTAGCATGCCTGTGCATACACAGCTGTTTATGCATTTGAATGTCAACTATGCAGAGAGGGGTTGTCCCAATTTCTAGCAAAGATTACGTTGTGACTTCAAATCCATGGTGTGTTCAGTGTGTGAGGGCTAGTTGTAGCGAGCAGGGCTAACCCATTTGAATGGAGCGTTAATCCTAATTGGTTGTTTGGAAAACACATTTTGAAATAGCATGAAGAAGCCTCAAACAATGACAACAACATGGAACATAGGATAAGATGGGACAATGCCAGGCTCCTTTAAGCTCGGGAAACCCCATAAAGACTGCAGAAACCAATATATTTGATTCCCAGAGCCCATCATAGGTCGATGGCTTGGAGCTGCTGAAACAGACGTATGAGGAAAAACATTTCTATTGGTTTTTTTCTCCAAATGGTCTGCATAAAAAAATACAGAATTTCTTTCTCTTAATCTGGTCTTTGTCTTTATTGCAGAACAACTTGTATGGAGAGCTGCCCGCTCAAGTGGTGCTGCCCCCACCTATTTTCGACCGATGGGGCGCTTTCTGGATGGGGGACTGTTGGCTAACAACCCGACTCTGGACGCCATGGCAGAAATCCATCAGTTCAACAAGTCCTTAAAGGCTGAGGTAGCAGATTCGTCTACTGTGGTTTGCTGACTCAGCCATGTGTGTAGAAATGTTTTTAGATGAACAACAGACATATTTTCTTGCCTCTGCTAGGGCCGTGAAGGAGACATAAAGAAGCTGGGTATAGTTGTTTCTCTTGGAACAGGTGGGTCATTACATAAAGTCACTCAAACTGGTTTAGTGAGGAATTACCTCCCTTTGTTCTGATGTAAGATAAAAATGTTTAAATTGTGTAACTAAAGCTGTGAAGGCAGACTTGCTTTCACTTCCATGTTAATGAAAAAAATGATGAAAAAAGTTTTATTTTTGCTCTTGTGTGTTTCCAGGTAAACCCCCACAGGAAGTGGTGACATCTGTTGATGTTTTCCGGCCCTCCAACCCTCTGGAGTTGGCCAAGTCATTCGTAGGCGCCAAGGAGCTGGGCAAAATGCTGGTGGACTGTGTGAGTGCACTCTTCCTAACGCTGAGCTGTAAACATCTCTCGTCTTATTTTTGGTTTTTCATCACTTTTAAACCATTCATATGAAGCTTCCCTTCATTAATAATCAGAACATTCTGCTTAGTCTGTTTTTGTCTTTAATTTAAAGTCTCTTTGAATGTGCAGTGCACCGACTCTGATGGTTGTGCTGTGGACAGGGCTAGAGCCTGGTGTGAGATGATTGACACCATCTACCACAGGTCAGCTGATCATCAATGTGCTGATTTTTATGTCTCATTTCATAATATTTCTGCTTTCGGTCACTTTTCTTTTTTTGCCAAGTATCTGCAAACCACGTTTTTTTTGTCTCTGAATTTCCTGTTTATTGGTCTACAGCAGGGGCTTTCCAACATTGTTCTAACAGTACATCCAATACATTAAATAAATAACTTCCTGAGGTTGTCTTCTACAACATATAAAAAATGTCGTAACTATATTGTTAGTGTTAAAAAACAGATGAAAACTAGAAGTTGGCCCCTGTAGACAGGAGGAGGAGACCCCCGTTTGACATGATATGAAGTAAAAGTTTGTTGGTTTGTGTTTGTCCTTTGCTGTCTGTGGACATAGAAGAAACATTTTTAAATGAACATGAAAATAACTAATTTAATCCTAAATGAGACTAGGGTCAGGTTTCATATTTGGACATGAGGCACAAAAAATAAGAACTGAGACACACAGTCTGATGCAGATAATTACGTGATAAGGATGGTGAAGAATAACTTTTTGCATTTAACACACTAAGATGATTCAATAAACATGCATGAGGATCTGGACACTGAGTTCTACCTTTACAGGTTCCTAATGTCTCAGACATTTCCTAGGTTAATCTACCAAGTTGCACGTACCTCTGATCCAGCAAGCAGCATGTTGTGAAAACACACAACGTTCTCTGACCACAAAGAAATGGCTAATGATGTGAAATGACTAAGCGGTTCAGTGTGACCCGTTTGTGGCTGCATGTTTAGTTTATTTTTCGGCTTAGGCTTTAGACTGGTGTTCTTGGAGTCATAAAATAATTTGTAAAACCAAACAGGTATGCTAGCTGCAGGCAGAAGGTCGGTCAGTTCTCTCACTGCGATCTCTGTCATTTATTTATTTATTTATTTTTTTATTTATTTTATTTTCACAACAAAAACATAAAAACAGAATAATGTTTCACTAAAAAAGAAAAAGTGACGGACAACTGCTGAAAAACCCTCAAGGGGCTTAATGAGTGGCAGTCTCCATAAAAACAAATATATTTCACCATCTCAGACATCTATATGATATTGTGTAAAAAAAAAAAAACATTTCTTTGTATAAAACAATTTAAAATATCATTTAGACCCCAAATCTATACAGAAAATTCAGACAACTTAGTAGCAGCAATTTTACTCTCTGTTTAAATTGTTCTTTAGAAAGATCTGTCAGTAAAGTGGGACGACTGTTCCATATCCTCGATCCTCTGTATAATACACTAAACTGTGTTTGAGTTGTACGAGAGTATGGAGGCCTGATAAGACAACTACTACAAGTTGGATACTGGTGAAATTCATTATTAAAAGTAAAAATATTACAAAGTGCTGGGGAAGTAACTTTTTTATAGAGCTATAAATGAATAAAGCTTTTTGAAGTTGATTAAATTGATAAACACTAAGAATATTTTTACTATCATTTACTCACTCAGCTGCACTTCGCTCTTTACATTTAAATACCTTTGAACATATTTTACTCTATCAACTTGAAAACAAATGTCTTTAATGTGGGTTTAAAACATGGATACCTGGTAATCGTAGGGATCCTCAGAGTGAACAAACAGAAACCTTCCAAATATCTATGAAGGAAGGGATTACCTTGTTCCTTTAGAAATTAGAGAAAATTAACAATTATTTGTTTGGTTCATTCAAACCTCTAACATTAAAAAAGGTTTTACATGATCTTATATTTAATTTGGACCTTTCAAGCATCAAACAGGTTTCCTTAAGGACAGAATTTTCACTAATTAAAGGGCAAGCAAATGGCTTTATAAAGTAATGCAATGTTTTTTTGTGTGTGTGTTTTGCTGTGCAGGCTGAGTCCCCAGTTGTCTCAGGAGGTGATGCTGGATGAAGTGAGCGACGAGATTCTGGTGAACATGCTCTGGGAAACTCAGATGTACCTGTTTGAGAAAAGGGAAGTCCCCCAGTCTCTGGCAAAAATGCTGCTGTGAGGTTGACAAAGAAAGGCGAACCATAAAGAGGGGCCACAAATAATGCTAGAATGAAAGAGTCTGCAAGAACAAATGCTATTCTGAGAGACCACAAGAACAAAACAAAAAAAATTTTAAGACTTCTACTAAAATGAGGTTAATGAGCAGAAAGCTGACTGAAAATAACTTGATCCTAATCTCCAAGGAGGATGGATTAGTAGCATCATTTGACCTTATCACTGACCTCTTTCTCTGCTTTTATGACCAGGTTTACAGTTTTTATATAAACTAATTAAGAAGTATTTGTAGTTTTCTTTTGTGTAATGCACTTGACAGGTTGAAGGAGTGGTTAAAAACAATATCAGACAGAAGAAGCATACAGAGACCGTTATCTTCTGATACAGTCTCCTTTTGTTCACTTATCAGATTTTGCTCACTTGGACTAAAAGGGTTATAGCTTCTTCATTCCCCTTCAAATCTGCACCAACATCTACAAACCTAGTTTCAAATGTTTTCTCTGTCTGCCGGTATGATCAAAGTCACCCTGTAGCTCCTATTTATCCTGCAGAACAGCTGTGATGGTTTAACAGTTCTGCCCTTCATATCTGGACCATGATTCTATTCGTGTTTATGCTTTTATATTTAACATGCACACATTATTCTATGTAAGTATGTTTTGTGGAGTGGGGCCTAGTGTTGAGACAGTGGGGTGTATCTGGACAGGAAGCAAGAACAGTAGTTAGTTGGTCCTCAGTGCGTCTAAACGTGTAGGTTTATCTCTTTGGGACCTTTGTTTTTCAACCTAACTCCACTTAAAGGACTATTGGCTCCACACCTAAACTTACTCCCCATTTCCAAATATCTGTTCTGGTCCAACATATGATGTGAAAACAGAAACTCGAGTTCACACACAGCCTTTAATGTCTGTACCAAGGAAAAAAACTGAGTACCAACCTGCAAAGATAGCTATGTTTCCTTCCTGGTGTCATGTGGCTTGTTACTGTAGTACTATAAGATCTTACTGTAGGTGTGAACGGGGAGCATGTGTGTAGGTTAAAGGTTGGTGTCCTCACTCTCACATACTTTTCTACACACTGGAAGCTCAAGATGGTTCACCATGGTAAAATAAAAAAAACTCAGAATGTCTGGAAAAAAAGGAGCTCTACATTAGTTCTTTAACATAAAGATATCCTTGGCCTGGGGTGTCAAATTTACTTTTATACCAGGCCACATCAGCATCATGGAGGCTTTAAAAGGGCCATTTGCGGATGTGTTAATGATGGTTTTTATGTCTGAATTTCCTTTACAAAGAGGATACCCTGTTCTGGTATTAATAAACTCAGGCCCCTTTTGTTTTCATTTTTAGCCACTTTGTGAGCCTCAAAAGAACACACTTCTCTACTTTATGACAACACTGCAACAAATAATTGACAAATATGTCAACATTTCTTAAAAGTAAATGTATTTACTCGATATCAGCAGGTAAACATGATGATCTGATAGAATGGGGATTATTTCAATGTAAATTAAAATAACTAAACCTTGTAGACTTGAAATAAGATAAAGAAGTTGAATATTGTTGTCATTCATATAAATCACCTTGTTCCTTTTCCAAATTGGCTTATCTGCTCAAAATAAAGGGGAAAAAAAAACTTATTTCAAGAAAAGTAGACTTGTCCTGGGCTACAGCCCAATACCTAGAGACTGAGTTCTGGCACAGAGGCCAGCACCGTACTGTGGATTAACAAGGTTCCATAAAGAACGGGCCTCATCATAGTAGACTGTAGACGTTGAATGCAGGTGCTCAATTTGAGGAGAGATGCATGCTTTCCAGCATTTCCTACAGAAGCTGTAGAGGCTAGAGGCGGTGTCTTCCTTTCAGGGATCAAACTATTTGCAGACACTGCATCAAGATGGACAAACTAATGATTGGTATTGTAACCAGGACCTGCGCTCTGATGACGCCAAGATAAATGTATTTGGGAGGCACCAGGTGAAGAGTATAAAGAGGTGTGTCACGTCTATAGTCAAACCTGGTGATGAGAGTATCATGGTTTAGAGCTGAGAGGAGTTTCACTGTACCCTGAATAAACTGTATGCTAACATGTAATCTGACCTACTGAAGAACATAAAGATAATCTGACTTTGGAAAGTGTCACACAGGGGATAAATAAACCATAGCTACCCTAAATATACCTTCACGATGCAGACATAGCAACCTACGTTGATAATTGACTAAATATGACTTCCTCAGCGGCTGTATCATGTAGGATTATATAAAAGATGAACAAAGCTATGAGGAGTATAATTACTTTTGTGAGATATTTCATAAATATTCAGGTTAACTTTACACATATTTAATCTCACTCCAAACTGCAAAACCTACTCGTTATAAACTTCTTAAACATACTGCCTACTTCCAAATGTTTTCTGTCTTTAATATATGTGAAGTGCAAACCTTTGCAAGAGTAAAGTTACATAAATATAACCGAACAAAATACTTGCTGCTACTTGCAAAACTTGGAACAAAGACAATTGTTTTGTATTATTTTTTTTTCTAATATTGAGGTGATTATTTACTGTACATGGTAATAAATTATATTACTACTGATCAGAAATGTGCTATTGACTGATTTTCTTAAGCAAATGCATCATTATATATATATATATTTTTTATTTTTTTCTCTCTCTTTCTTGTATAATCTGTATATAGTTTTTTATATTTACTTATTTTATAGCCTCTAACAATAACTTTCTGTTTATATATACGATTTATAGTCCATACATTTAGAGTCTCTGTACACATCTAAATACATACTTATATCCTTTATGGTCCTTCTGGATAGATGCAGACTGCATTCCATAGCTTTGTACTTGTGACGGTGTAATGACAATAAAGTCGAATTTTATTTCATAAAGGACACTTACAAAACAGTTCCGGTTAAAAAGCCCAATAGTTACTGCTAGCTCAAACGTTAGCTGGAAATGGGGAAACAGTTTATGCTGGTTACTTTGGCAACACGTGACAACACAGGATGCGAGTCTCCCTGAAAATTAACCAATCACTGGGGGGTTGGTTTGTCAGGTGGGTAATGACATCAAAGTTACAAAATTGGACAGAAGTGATCTCTACTTATTCACTGGATTGCTGATTGCCCGTTGGTAGTACGGGGTTGAAGTGAAGCCAGCGGCCGCCATATTGGGACTCCCTACTTACTCCCTAGATGCCTATAGCATTGAAAAACGATGATGTTCTCATTTTCAGGGGGACTTGAGACTTTTAAAATAAAGATAAGTTCATCACTTTAACACACAATTGGTGTTTCATAGCATAAGTAAATTAATTGAACTTATATAAAAAATGGCACATCACATTGCATAGTCAGTATGAAATAAATTAGGTCTTTAAATCATATAACATATACAAATATGTCACAAAATTAATGTGTTAATGGAGCATAATAATATAGATGTGCAAAAAGTGCTAAATTGATGATGCACATCTAATATACATGTATTGATTACGTTGTTATGGTAATTACATCTTGCATATATGGTAATTTCAATATTTTAATGTAATGAATTACAAGTACATGTCTGTTAATGCTATAGTATTTTTCTATTTGCAAATTGTGCATGCATTATACATACATTTATATATATATGTATATATATATATATATATATATATATATATATATATATATATATATATGTTTTTTTCCCCTCAAAATGACTGCAATATATTTCAGCACATACATTTTTCAAATAATACATCAAACACTACAAGTACGACGGTATCTTGCACATTTCACACTGAATTTCTTTCTATTTTCCCACGTTAGACACAGTGTCGATGGCTAATTTAGTCAATGTTTTCGAGTCAGTGTGAGATAGCCAGACTAATGTTATACTACATACTATACTATGGTGTTCATCAATGTATATATGGATTTTCTTGGTTAGTAAATCCACTGACTGTGAAATTACCTGTGAAACATCTTCCCACAGCTGGCAAACTGCTTGGTTTTGCAGCCAAATGCTAAACACATAGGCATTTTTACTGTGCATCCATGTGGGAGTGGGGAGTACCAGCATGGCAGATGGTGACTTCACTTTTTTCGGGCAATCAGAAATGCAGTGAATAAATAGAGATCAGTGGCAGAAACAGGTCCACACGAGAGGAGGAGGGGGGCTGCGGGCCACATGCATGCAAAGAAGGAACAAGCTCTCGTGTGTGGTATACTGTGTTATATTTTCACATGTAAGATGCTAGACATGCGTGAGAAGTAGTTCATGATTATCAGTATGAAAGAAAACTGCTTGTAAGAGTATGTGTGGAACACCATAAACATGGCCAATAGTTCTTTTCAACAGATCCTCACTTAGGCTACTTTGTTAATGCAGCTACTTTTAGCCCTCTTATTACATTAAGTTAGTACAGATACTTTTTTTTCCAGATATATGAACTCAAATATTTTATTTACAAAGCCCTTTAGTTTTATTATGGGCTGTGTCATTACCTTTTGAATTGAATGTAACCTTAGTAATGGTGTTGCAGGGCTAGATGCACCTATTGCCAAATATTCAGCCATATTGTTGAGATTTGCACAAATATTTAGCCGTTTTTTCTTGGAAGTGATGTAAATTGTGCTTAATTAATACACAGAGCCCAGATTATCCAAAAGTTTTATTTAAATTTACACAGAAAACACTTTGCAACTTTGCATTTGCAGAAATAAAATAAATATATTTCACTATTCAGTTTAATTTTTTTAACTTTTGACATTTGGATGGGAAGTATCAAGAAAACTCTGATTTCCACTGAAACAAACTTTTGATATTTTTAAAAGTGAAAAACAAACAAAAAAACAGTTGACAGCTGGTTGTTGATTTTATTATCAATATAATATTTAATCTGAATTTGTATTTGTGCTAATTTTGATCTCAGAATACGGAACATGCTCCTGTTTTTGGTGATGTTGGATGCTGCAGTAAAGAGGATTTAATTTCTCAGTTGCTAACTGGCTGTAATGAAGTTCCATTTCTGCTGGTTGAGCTAGAATCTCTTCGTATGTATGATCACTTTTTATCTAAAGAAAAATAAGTTGCACATTTCACGTTAAAGGGATATGGCTTTATAGTATTAGGCAACAATTATGCTTGTGGAAAATTAAAGCTAGAAGAATGAAGTGTGTATCTTTACCTGGTCCATGTTGTTGACAGAATCACTTCCAGAAGACTGAGAAGTCTTACATTTTCTGCTAAAAAATAAAAAAAGGTCAAAAAGACATACATAACATAATTCAGCAGTTTGTACTCCATATAAGAATTTATTGATCTTAACAAAATACTCACCTATACAAGAAAATGCAAAGAGGTGCCAGAATCACGAGAACAGCAGAGATTCCAGCAGCTGCTGGTTTCCAGTTTGCTTTTCTTCTTTGGACAATCAGAGTCTTTCCAGCTGATCTGATGGTTCCAACAGCACAGGAGTAGTTTCCTCCATCCTGCATGCTGACTGCGTCTATAATGAGCTGTTTGTTTTGTGCTTTGCTCAGACTCAGACTGTTCAGGTACCAAATGTAGATTGTGTTTTCCCTGAGAGGGCAGCTGGTGCTGCAGGTTAATGTGACTCTCTGACCCTCAGTCACCTCTGCAGCAGGTCTCAGATCCACCTGGAGCTCTGGAAGACAGACGGACTCATCAGTCCAGGGATAACTAACATTAAGTAGTGCTGCAAACATATAATCTTGACATCTAGCTATATTAATACACTTATTTTGTTTTGGTTTGTTGAAAATGTAAATTTCACACTGAGGTTTTAAAGTTTGTAATAAGAATGTTTTCACAGTGACCCATCATATTTACCTGTTACAATCAGAGTAACTCCATGATAATCAGACTGTATCAGTTGATTTTCTGCTTTTATTCTCAACTTGTATTCTCCTGAATCTTTCTGATCCAGGTTGGTTAATCTGAGGATGTGTTTGTTCTTTATGTCACCTCCATCATCCATTAACTGTTCTTCTTCCTGCTTTGTATTCATCTTAACTTTATACCAGTGTTTAGTCTGTGGCTGCAGGTATTCAGGATGTGAGTATTTGCTGGAGATGTTCACTGATGAACCTTTCAGGGCACAGATTCTCCTGCTCACATAATTAATAGTCCAGCAGCTGTTGCTTCCATCAGCACCTGAAATATGAAAGAACAACAACTGAAAATATTTACTGAGATAATTTATAAATATATTATTATATACAAAACTTACAAACTTCATCAGACAGCAGGTCATTAAGATCTTTCACAGAACAGAAGAAACTCTCCGGTGTAGTGCTGGAAACTGAAGTGTTTTGATCAACTTTTTTTAGACCAGTTTGTGTTTTTTTATACATCTGAAAGGAAGTTTGAAGGTCAGTCAGAGAACAGCTGGAGCTACAGTTCAGCTTGAAATGATCCCTGAATGTTTCTGTCCTTTCAACATGAACTTCTGTTGGGAGAAGATGAACATTTTCAGACATTCATTTCTACCAAATAGGACATTTAATATTAAAACATAAAGATTTCTGTTATCTTGAACAGTAAATGAACAAATGATCAACATTTCTATTGTTGGATTAGGAAGATTAGATTAGAAAAGCATCAGATTAAAGTAACATGACCTGTAGGAAATGTGATGGAGCAGGACTGTTTCTCTGTCTGCTTGTAGGAACACATTCTGCCTCCAGCGTAGGTCACACTGAAGCAGCTCCTAGAGACAGAATCTGAACCAGACCAAACATCACTTAGTGTCTCAGCATTGGGGATAGAAAACAAAGAGCTAATCATGGTCACTCACCCACTGAGACCTCAGG